TCTGTTGGTTAGAGTGTCATCCCATCTCAGTACACCAAGGTTGCAGGTTCAGTCCCCAGTTAGGGCACATATGAGAATCAACCAATGAATGCATAAATAAGTGGAATAACAAATCAGTGTTTTATTTCTCTTTCTTTCCGCCTCTCTCACCTTTCGTCTCCCTCTCTCTCTGTAACAAATAATAAAACAAATAATAAAATTTAAAAAAATAAAAGAATTATAGGCAATGGCATTATGAGCCATTTTATTTAAAAATTTTTTTTTCCTGTTTTAAACAGATTTCTAATAGTACTATATTTTTTTCTCTGATATTTTGTTTTGTAAGTTTTCAGGTCCACCGAAAAGTTGCAAGAATAGTACAATAGATATGTGTATGGTCTTCACCTAGATTCACCAATGAGTAACAGCCTGCATATTTGCTTCTTGATTCTGTCACTCTCTCCATATATGTTCACATACAATTTTTCTCCTGATTCATTTAGAAAAAAGTAGACCTCAGGACACTTTACCCCTAAACACTTAAGCGTGCATCACTTGTGAACCAGGATGTGCTCCTACTTAACATACCACCATTATCACATCCTAGGAATTTGGTGCTGATGCAATACCATTATCTACTGCGCAGTCCATTTTAAGTCTCCCTAATTGTCCTAAACATGTTTTTTGCAGACTTTTAAAAATCTGGGCTCTAATAAACATGTATTTGGTTATTATGCTAATGTTATTTCAGCTTGATTATCAGCAATTGACCTATCTTTGTTAGAACCTATTGTTATAATACACACATGTGTATATGTGCTATACTGATAGATATCCCCCAGACAATCTTAGAGTTCTTGAAACTTGACAAGGGGGACTAGGAAGTCTGCTCTCTTTACAGAATCTGTGGTTTGAACAGTTAAGAGACCTTTCCAGTGTCCCAGCGTTGTGGTTTGCATATGTGTTCTGAATTTCTTCCATTTATGAAATCTGACACCTCCAAGTCTGGACATTTTAAACTGTTCTGCTAAATTCTTTTAAGTATGCAGGGCTCAAATGTACCGTTGCCTGGAGTGTTAGAGGTCATTTGACATAAAACAGAGAAAAACCAGTAGTATCTGCTACAAAGCTCAAGATCTCCTCCTCCCCTTCCTCCTTTTAGTGCGGGGTCACTGGCTTCCTTAGCTGTGGACACCCTCAGAAGGGCTGAGGGCAGCTGTGGAGCCACTGAGGACCAAAGCCCAGCTGGGGAGGAGGGAAGTCCTGGAGAGGGAGGAGGAGGGATGTGAGAAGCGAACCGGAGGTGGAAGGGAGAGAGCAGAGGGAGCGGTGCCACCTTGGCCAGTGCAGTTCCGCCCTGTGGAGTCAGGCCACCTAGTTGGCTCTAGGGCTTGTTAGCTGAGGGCCTGTCCGGCAAGCCTCCCTTGGGCAAGCAGTGTTGGGAACGAGTCCTGGATTAGAATTAGTCAGACTGGCTTTAAGTCCAGTTGTGAGACTGGCTCTTCTCTTCCCTGAATCTCTCCTCCACCCATAGGGTTGTATGTAGTGAAAGTCCAAGAAGAGAATTGGGGCAAGTGCCTTGAAATTACAGAGGAAGGAGGTGGCCTTGCCCTCAGGACTATCTGTTGCGGTGTTGGTAAGGTTATCACATCTGGACATGTCAGACACGGGTGCAAGACGGGCTTGCTCTGGGGTGGGCACACATCAGATAGGGAGGGCAGGGGTCCGGAAAAATGGTATTCCCAAGGACGGAGGTTGCAGTGTGGGCCCCCAGGGAGGTCTTCCTAGAGGAGGCCCAGGAGGCCAAGCACCAGTCTTACTGGAGTGGCAGGAGTGGAGAAGAAGGGATCAGGTGGCTGAAAAAAGGAGGGGCTGCCCTGGACAGTAGTGCTCCTTGCCCTAAAGGGGATTCCTGAAAATACAACGGCAGTGCGAGGGCTGCTTGAGCGCTGCGTGTTTGGAGGAAAGGGCTCCTTGGGATTCTGAGTTGTTCCTCCTACGCCATCTCAAAAAAATAAACATAAAGCTTTATTCTTTGCTAACAATAAAGCATGCACATTTCATGTAGAAAATTTAATTAATAAAGAAGGAAAAAGAAAAGCGTACAATATCCCAGAGGCAACCATATTAATATTGTGCTGGGGGAAAATGGAGCTTTTATTGTATGCCAAGCATTGTGCCAAATGTTATCTCACTTGAGGCTCACAAAAACCTTGGGAGGCGTGTACTTTATTACCTGTTTTAGCTATGAGGAGAGTGAGGCACAGAAAGGTTCAGGAAGGTGCCCTACTCACACAGAACATGCATGAGCTGGGCTTCCCGGCAGGCAGGCCGGCCGGCTTCAGAGCCCACACTGGTAACCCCTCCAGGATACTGACCGCCCCTGCAGATCCCTGACAGTTTTTGTGTGTGCGCACTGGTCCTTATACATACATTGGCTAGGATTCAGATTTTAAGTCAGTGGCAGAGGCTCTTAACCAGCAGGCAGTGGCTACAGTAGACACGGAAGTTTGCACCGTCTTCCACCCCACAGCTCCCTGTGTGAAAGCCTTCGGGCAGTGTGGCCTGGGGTTTAGAAACAGAGGTTTGTGTACTTGCTGTGATTGCTGAGGGATAGAGGTCACCCATCTGTGGGAAGGTCCCAAGATGGTTACGTTAGGAAGAGGAGAGAGTGGGGAGTGGAGGAGGGGATGTCCAGCTTAAGTCCAGGGAACAGGTGGGGTCTAAAACTGCCTTCCTCTTCCTCCCATCTGCTGTCAATAATGTTTACTCAAAGAAAATTGGAAAACCCGGCAATAGTGTCTTTGTTGACTTCTAGGCTATAAGGTGTGGTTATTTTTTACTTGGCTATCTGAGCTTCCTTGGACTTCTGTCCTTCTGCCCCAAGGCATGGGCCCATCCACAACTGGTGCTTCCCTGTGGCATCCAGGGATTGGTTATAGGCTTGGCAGATCACAGCCAGGAATTGCTGCCCAGAGGGACATGGGATTGGCAGGTGTTTCTGTCTGGGGGGACAGGCACTCCTGGAACCCTTCCCTCTCCCTCCAGCCCCATGGCCTGCGTCGATTGTTAGAGCAGGAGTGAGCACCAGGGTGTCCAGGGGCACTGCAGGCACTGGCGTGGCATCTGGGGCCTTGTTTTCCCATCTGTACAGTGGGGCTGCTGGTGTCCCTTCTCCCTACTTACCAGGGAGCTGGTGGATGAGGAAGAGGCGGTGTTACTGGGGAGTTCAGTTCCACTCGTGTTGTCCTCGGGGCACGTGCATATTCCTCTTATCCCTCCTTGCTCTGATGCTGGCAGGTAGGCAAGATGAGGTTCATTTATCCTCCAGTTGAGAACAGAAGAAATTGGGGTTTAGAGAGAGCTCATGTGGTGACAGTGGCCCGCATGCCAGTGTTAGAGGCACGGCCAGAGGCCAGGCCGTGCCCTACCCTGCAGCTTACTGGTCTTGTCATTCTGAGGTTTGTGTTCCTTCCCCCAGTCATCCCGCACCTGCTGCATTCAGTCTAAGAAGAGAGCAAAAACAAAAACAAAAACAAAAGAAGAAGAGAGCAAGAAGCAGGTGACACAGGAACCTGGGGCTCCAGAGTCAGCTTTGCCTCTGAGTCTGTGGCTTTGGGATGCTTCTGTGGGCCACTTGTTTGTTCAACAGTTGTTTATTGAGCACCTGTGGTGCATGACCCTGTGAGAGATGCTTGAGCTGCAGAAATCAAAGAGGTGACACTCCAGTGTCAAAAACTCACATTTTGGTGGGGGCATCATCTTGTAAAACAGTCAGTGCTCTTACAGTGCACAGTGTAGCATCCAAATGGAACATGGTGGGGCTTGAGGAGCCCAAAGGTTGGCAATCTTGACCTGCTGGAATCTCAGTTTCCCCATCTGTCAGTGGGTGCATGGGATCGCTTTGATTTCGGGGGTCCCTCTGTCTTTTACATTCTGTGACTCTTCATGAAGACAGTGTTAGGTTGAGGGTTAAACACACCTGGAGTCAACCAAGATTTTATGTTGAAAGTGCTTCCAAGTCAGATGGAGAGAGAGCAGTCTACTGTGCTCTATATATTTATCTCTTCACAAACAATTACTTCTGCAGTGGGCCAAATACATTTGTTTTGCATGGCCAGGGAGTGTTTTTCATGCAAGTTGGTTTGGCTTATGGCTGTGAGCCGGTGCCAGGAGGTTGCTTATGGGTCACGGGGTAGGGAGGGATTGAGGGCGTATTTCAGATGTGCTGCTGCGGGTCTGAGCCAGGGTTGAGTCTGATCCCGTTAGCAGGGTGTCCCAGGGAAGCGGCTGCCATCCCTAGTTCTTAAGGCTATGTCTGGCCTGTGGACGTGTCTGTCCTCCTGAGTTTGGGCCTTGTGGCCACTGCAGGTGTGGACTGTGAGAGCAGAGTGAGGTAGTCACTGTGAGCCCGAGTCGCTTGAGCCGGGCTGCAGGTAGGGTCAGGGCTGGGACCAGGTCTCACGGAGGGGCAGGGTGTGGGAAAGGCTGGCCCCTGATGGTCCTCGCTTTCCAGGCCTCAAGCCAGGAGACTTGATCGAGGTTGTTTAGCCAGCAAGTGGCAGAGCTGGGATTACTCCTGAGTCGGTGTTCCTGTATTCTAAAGCTCTGCAGAGAGTGGGCTTTACAGCAACCAGTGTGTCATTAAGTTGAAGCACTGGAGGACCTGCATTTTAATTAGTGCCCAACAGCCTTTTTCTTGGTGCCCTGGGGAATGAATGATGTGTAGTGGGGACCAGAGGGGGATGTGGGTATAGGGAATGACTTGAGGTGAATTGCTGCTCTCTGTTCTGCTCTGGGTCTGTGCATTTATGTAGGAGGGAGGGAGAAAGGTGGGTGGCTGGAGGTGGCAGGGACCTTTATTAACTGCTCACATAGAGCAGAGACACCTGGACCTTCACCTCCTTTTCTCCTGCTTTGAATCCGTACTATGTAACAGGCTGTGTGCTGTGCGCTGTGGGGAATGCAGAGATAAACCAAAGCCTCTTCCTTGAGAAGTCCTCAGCAGAACTGAATATGGAATATGTGTTTGACTGCCACATTCTCTCCTAATAGTAGGTTTTAGTGGCTGTGCTTATGGGATAGAGTAAAATTGCCATGATCTGAGGGGGGAGGGTCTGTTCATGCCCTCCCCCTGTATGAAATGGCTGAACAGGGAAAAACAAAACAAAACAAACAAAAAAACCAAAAAGGAATATGTGGCCCACTGCAAAGGGAAAATGTGGGGCCCCTTGCTCATAAATCATTAAGAATTTTGAGGTGGTAACAATGGAATGTGAAGCCAGGTGTGGGGCCTTGTGAGACTGCACAGCTTGTGTGTCCAGGATGCCTGGTCCCATCTCGTAGGTGAAGCCAGGCCTGGTAGACATTGGTTAGAACCATAGGGAAGAACAGGCAGGGCGATAGTAACAGATCACTTCCAGGTGGAAGGATCTGGGATGCTACTTAGAGAGCCTCCATTTAACGCTGGGCCTGGAGGGATGGGTAGGACCTCGGTAGAAGTGGCGGTGATGGTGGAGGTGGGAACAAGCGAGCATGGGCAGGGAGTGTGGAACACATGGCACTTTGACCTGGCCAGAGGCCTGCGTGGGGATAGGAAGGACACGGAGGGTGCAGACAGGCTGGGCCCAGCCCCGGGGTCATAAAGACCCTCACGTGCCCGCCTAAAGGTAGGCTTTACTGCGTAACCAGGGACTTTTGGGCACTTGGGGATGGTATGAAGCTAGGCTCTGGGGGGGCACTCTTGGGAGGTGGGGCTCAGTGACAATCTGGTAGCTGGAAGGACTGATGTTGAGATACTTGACATTTGTTATTCACTTAATCTGCTGAGCCGTTGTAGATGAGGAGATGGAGGTGGAGAGAGGTGTTCTGTACTATGCCCACGGTAGTAGGTGGCTGAGCCCATAGCCGAGAGACTGAGCAGAATTGGGAGGTGGATGAAACAGTTGAGCTGTGAGAGATCTTACTGGGATGGTTGCCATAGAGAGAAGTGACAAGTATGAGAAGGTGTGGATGTAGGTTAGGTGGACACAGGCATCTGAGTGGGTTGCATAGTCAAGAGTTCCCACAGCTGAAGACGTCCTGCGGCCTGGGGGTGGCCGTCCTGCTGCAGCGCAGAGACAGCCGTGGTGGGGCACCCGCCTTGCCTTTCTCACCAGTAAACCCTGCCAGTTGTTAGCTCTTGGTGTTTTTTTTTTTTTTACCTTAATCTATTTCTACCTTTCCCCTCTTTCCCACCATCACCCTTTGGGCATGTAAAGGCAGGAGTCTGTTCTCCAGACCTTTTATTTTTTCCTTTTTGCAACTCTTGGTTCTTTAACTCCCACATTTGTTGTGGTTTTATGCTGGATGTGGTGCTTCAGGCATGGTTAGAACAGCTGGGAGAGATGGAACTGACTGCATGCATGTCTCAGCGGATGTCCTTGGGTTTTAGATATTTCTGTGCTTTGAAGATGGTCCTTACCTTTGGCCCACCCCCGCCAGTAGTGCCCCTCCCCATCATATGTCCACGGAGCCATGTCCCCACACATTCCTTCCTCGGAGGATTAGTTCCCATACTCTGTACCCCAAGACCTGGCCAGGTTACTCATGTGACAAGTTCCAGACTCATTCACGTGGACTGCCTTTCTTCTCCTGTCCCCAAGTGTCAGAGGATACAATACTTAGTGTAAAGGGTTGAAATAGCCAGCAAATGGCCCTGCCTGACCCCTTTCTGGGTCTGAAAGGTGAATCCTACACAGTCTCCCAGCCTGGCAGGTGACCTGCGGAGCTTAGTAACTCGACACTGCTTTGCTAATTGTCTGCTGAGGTCACAGATAGCCCTTGTCACTGGCCATCCACCGGGACCACAGTCCCCCAACTGGGCTAACTGGTTGAGCCACTGTTCTGGGCACTCATGGGAAACAAGTGGCCTTTGTGGTGAGCCGGAGGACAGAGTGGCCGTCAGCATGGGCGAGGTGGCTGCACAGACAGGGCCTCCAGGCTGGACAGAGCCCAGGGAGCTGAAGCTGGGAGGCCCACAGCAGCCCCCACTTTTTGTGGTGCTGTGGGGCACAGAGTTGCAGGGACTGCACCGCTCCCCTTTTGGTTGCTATATAAGACAGTGTTTCCTACTGTTTTTACAGTGCCTGTGTCAAGAAGCTTCGCTGGTGCCCTGCTTGGCCTAGGCCTGGGAGGTTCCAGTGGACTGTGGCACTTCTGCAGGGCCGGTGTTTTACCACGTCTCCCTGAGATGCAAAACTAAGGGACAGTGACACTTCAGGAGATGTGAATGTTTCTGTTTTGGCAATTCTTCCTTAGATATCTTGAGGGAATCTTTGCAGCACTCCCCCAAAACACAAACCCCAAATGTACGTCATAAAAGACCACACAACTTAAAGGAACTGGGTAAATATTAGGTGACTTGGTTTAATTAAGTTTAACACATGAAACTTAAGAAGGTAACTTAGTAGCAGGGGCTGAGATGGTCCTAAGTGTCTTTGACTCAGATTTTTATTTGCTTGACACACTTTAATGGTGTAAAGGGGTATTTGAGACCATTTTAAGAGGCTCCAGTGAATGATCTTGAAAAAGTGACTGGCCCTTTAAAATGATTGAAGAAAAATTGGTATCATTAACTAGAACTATGTTTAACAGCTTTGCCTGGTGAATATTAGTAGTACTTTTAGCCCTCTCATCTAATCCTTTCATACGGGAATTCTTTCCTCTGTTATCATAGTTTTGTTGCTTGTACCCCCTACCCCCCTGCAACAGTTTTTGGCAACTCTTGGTTCTTTTTGACCTCCCACATTTGCTGTGGGTTTATACTAAGTATGGTGGTTCAGGCATGGGTAGAACTGCTGCGAGAGATGGATCTGGGGGCACGCATATTCTTTCATACCATTTCCTTCTCCAGGACCTTGCAGGTCATCTGGAGGGAAGGTGTGCTAACTCAGCCTGCGGCGGCGTCTGTGCAGGAGCTGCAGAAGGTGGGAGCAATCTCTTCCTACGTGGGCCCTTTTGAGGTCATTTCTCTGAGATTGGCCCTGCAGGGTGCAATAGAGAGGCTCCTGCTGCATTTTGCCTCCTAGGTATTCAGTCCCTAACCTTTGTATTTGCTCTGTTCTCTGGTGCTCCCTATGGCCCTCCCCACCCACGTCTCTCATCTTTGATGTAGTGGCTGTGGACTAAAAGCTCAAAATGAAAGAACAAGTTGTAGACTCAGAATGTTTGCCCCCAAGGAAAGCGCATGTTTGCACAAAATCCTGTCTGACAGTTTCCATTTAAACAAGGAAGTTGGGGGCCCAGCAGGGCCTAGGAAATATGAAAATTGGTGCTTTGTTGGGCTGCAGGCTCATGGTAGCTCTGTGTCTGAGTCTGTCTGTCAATAGAGATCTGAATTTTCAGATGAAAATCACTGAGTAGCCATGAGTGACTCTCTCCCCTGCCGCTGCAAACGTGCCTGCTGCATGTCACTTCAGAGTCTGCTCATCTGTCTCCCAAGGTCTCCTCTTGGATTTTCTGAAATGTGATGAAATGGAATGTGCTTTTAAAAATTATATATTTTCTGGAGATAGCCTGACTGGGATCGTTGGCCACCACGGCCTTATTTCTGTCCCCATAAGTCTCTTATCTCATAACAGGTGATGAGCCCCTCTTAAGAGCTGCTTGTATTTTTTTTTTTTAAATCTTAATAGTCTTTCCAAATACATTCCCTCAATCGCTTATTTATTTGCACACAGGCTGAAGATTTGATAGAATTCTTTAACCGTGTTAACTTTTCTTAAGAATAATTCTTTTTCATAATTATCAAAGTAGTATTCATTTAAAAAAAAAAAAGAAAGGAAAAGATTACAGAACTATACATGATAGAAATCCTGAGTTCTCTTAAGTATCTGCCAGGGGCCTGAGGCTAGGGAAGAAGGCACAGTGGTCATGGGGAGGCGGGGCCATCCTGGGGCTCACACTGTGGCTGCTGAGGGGGTAAGGGATGGGCAAGGTTTGGCTTCAAGGCAGCTCAGAAGTAGTTAAAGGTGCAGGGTACATCTGATTTCAAGTCTCGCTGATTGATGTAGGGCAAGTTCCTTAACCTGTCTGAACTTCAGGATCATTGTAAATTGGGTCTAATAGCAGTACCTCTTTCCTGAAGGTTGAGAGTTTTAAGTAAGATAATATGTTCATTTGATGATTTTTCAAGGGCTGCATAGAGCCTAGCTCTCTAGCAACTGTATTAGAGTGATAAGGATGCTGCAACAAAGTACCGCGCACTGGGTGGGGGTACAGGGTGGAGGTGGGGGCTCTCAGACAGCAGCCATTTACTGTCTCTCAGTCCTGGCGGCTAAAAGTCAGAGGTCAAGATGTCATCAGGGGGGGTTTCTTCAGAGGCCTCCCTCCTTCACTTGTAGATGGTTGTCGTTTCTCTGTGTCCTCACATGGTCTTTCCTCTGCGTCCACACATTTTTATATGTCTGAATTTCCTCTTCTCGTAAGGATCACGGCCAACCCTACTGACCTCGTATTAACTTAATCAACTCTTTTAAGACCCTCTCTCCAAAATAATCACATGCTGAAGTACTGGGAGTTAGGACTTCAACATAGGAATTTTGGAGGGGACACAATTCAGCGCTTCACAGAAATTATTTCTAGTATGCATGGTTCTGTAGTGGTGAGGGGTGCCTTTCGTACTCTCTCCAGCTCGTGGTGTGGCTTGCTCAGTTGTGCCTCCCCTAGACACCTGCAGAATGTCAGGGCTGGGCTGTATAGGCGTCCCCTTAATCTTGGAGGAAGCTGAAGTGTAACTGGAAAACATGGAGCCAACATCTACTCTTCAGGCTTTAACTAAGTTGGGTGTGGGGATAGCCAGCACAATGGTGCAGGCTTGGGGTTTCCCATCCACTGGGAGGAGATGGAGCATATTTGCTGTAGGACTCCTGCAGATGGCAAGAGGACCAGGAATTAGGAGGAAACTGGGACCTTTTGGGGTCTGGAGTGATTTCATTTGCTCCACTCTGTGGTTGTGGATGTGAATTTTGGTATTTTATCCTTGCACAAAATAATAAAATATTTTTCTCCTGTTACTTAAGATCAACTCTCTCTCCTCAGGGCTGCCTCTGGGTGAAAGATACCTACTCCCCTTTGTACATTTAAAATACTTCGCTTATTTCTTCCCCTATTTCTTGGAGT